GCCTCATTTCCAACTACGTCCACTTCATTTGCTTGGATTTCCCTGCGCCGTAGTTGGCCGGCGTCGGCCTCCTCGCCATCTCCTCCCCTTCTCTCCCCCCTTGTGCTGGCATGGCCGAAGTTTAGGCGAGCTTCCTCCTCAAGGGCGCCCTCGAGGGCGCGAAGTTATTCGCGCTTCGCGCTTCTCGGTTCGGCTCCCATTCCTCCTCCTCCTCCTCTTCTCCCCTGGGAGGCGGCGCGAGAGCGCGAAGTTATTCGTGCTTCGCGCTTCGCGCAGCGCGAAGCGCGAAGTTGGGAGCCCTCGCCTCCTCATCCTCGGCGCTGCATGGTAGTGAGTTTGCAGGGTACTGCGACGCTGCTCCTTGTTCACTGTGGTACGATGCCTTCGTATGCAAGTGGTCGGTCGGACCATTGGAAAGGCACACCGAACATTTTCGTCCACCCATCCCGGCATCTTTCCCTCCTCGCCTCCGTTTCTTTGTTTTTCCTTGTTGTGCCAACGATTCTCGGCGTCTCGTCCCTGACATAGGTTTGCATGTTTTGACCAGGCGCGATGAGCAGACAGCACATTTCGGCGACTCACCCGGGGCAGCTGCATGTGGGGCTATTTGCATGGACATTCGTTTGAAATGTTGGCGCACGTGCTGACACACCATACTGAACTCCATTTTGAAAAACCATGGGCTGACGGAAGGCGAGATCCCATTCACCTGCAATCATCGCCGTCATTCCTAACGGACAAATAGTGAGGAATGGGTGGGTACTTGGCTCAGTGTTCAATTCCCTGGTTGGTTCGGGCCACCTATGGACACTCAGACTCGGTCATCGGCCCAGATGGAATACATCGCAAACCAACGGATATTACTGTCAACTCAGTTGAAAGCTTCATCTTCGCGGTTTTCTGCCCTTGATGGAGGTTGCCACGTGGAGCATCACCATATTCTTCCGTTCGTAATCGCGGGCCCAAACACGCTGAATTAGATTACGAAAAGCATGTACATATTCGTTTTGTCCACAGTACAAAATTTGTGGCATACCTTGACAGGGCATTCACACTGAAGCGCGATACAAGACAGCCAGGCCAGATGGTAACAGGCGGTCGACGACGGCGCATAATTCCACACCGCATCTACACAACCGTTGGCAGTGTCAAGTCATCGGACATAACGCATGCGCGCGACCTAGAGGAACCGCTAGCATTATTGCACAGCGATGCTGTTATCAAGGAAAGAGCGCTTTCTGCCGCTACGGGCAAGACCTCCCCGGGGGGTAGGAGGGGGGGCAAAACAGCCTCCCACTCCGAACCGGGAGGGGAGGGGCGGACCCATTCCCCCCCCTCCCCAGTTCGAAACGAGGTGGGCTGGTGGGGGGGGGGGGTTCAGAAGACTTTTCCCTCAAGTGGGCTCGGACCGGTGGGGAGGAGGGGGGGGGAACCCCCCCCCCCCCCGGTTCGAACTGGAGGGGTTGAACCGCCAAGGACTACGACGACGACGACGACCACCACCACCACCACCACCACGACGACGACCACGACCACGACCACAACGGCGACGACGACTACGACGACGGCGGCGACGACCACATCGTCGGCGACCACTTTGCTCCAGTGGGATGCCACTATCGAGCCCGAGTAGGGTTGTGCACAGAGAGCTGCATCCAGACCATAGTAGGTAGGATCCGAGTACACTTGCATTGATCCATAATAAGATCCGATATGAGCCGAACCCACCCCATCTAGGATTTTGATAGAGCAGGGTTGGACGTGGCCTCACCAGGATCTTATTACAGCAGGGTCCAGCCCTAGCTGCAGGATTCGATTACAGGCCGGGTCTTTGTAAGATTCTGTTAGAGCTGGATCCAGCCCTATCCAGATTCTATTAGAGCTGAATGAAGCTTTCGTGGGATTGTGTTACTACTTGATCGAGCCTTCGTAAGATTCGATTAAAGCTGGATCCAGCCCTATATATTGGCAGGATCCGGCTACAGTTTGTGAGACTATGTTAGAGTTGGATCCAGCCCTATCAGGATTCTTTGAAATTGGAGCTGAATGAAACTTCGTGGGATTCTGTAACAGCTTGCTCGAGCTTTCGTAAGATTCGACTAAAGCTGGATCCAGCCCTACTGGCGGGATTCGGTTACAGATGGATCGATGCTCTGTAGGATCCCATTAGATTTGGATCCAGCCCGAGTAGGGGAGCATTATGTACTAGATCCAGTTTTTCTATCAGTATATCAAGGCTGGATCAAGCCCTGCAAGGTTCTATTAGAGCTAGATCCAGCCTCAAAAGCAGGATTCTACTAGAGCTGTATCGAGCCCTCGCCGTCGTCGTGTTGCATTAATTGCCCGCCCTCCCGACTGGCGCTGTCTCTGTCATATACATTCTTCGGTCCTATCACAAAGCGCAGCTTACATTCCATATCCCGCCCGCCCGTCCGACTGGACGCCCCATCACCGAACGAAGGTTGCAATTAATGTCCCGCTCAGACCGCCGTCGACGTCGTCTTCGCCCTCAGGGGCGGCCTCCCCCCCCGTCCCCCCCAGTTCGAATTCCGAGTTCCAGGAGGGGTAAGGGTTCTGCCCCCCCCCCCCACAGTTTCGAACGTTCGAACCAGGTTCGATCCACGAGGGGGGGGGGCGGGCACACCCTCACCCCCCCCCCCCCCGGTTTCCGGCGCGATTCGGCGATCCAGGTTTCTGCTTCGGCGGGCCCTTGTGCCGTAGACACGATTCGCTTCGCGGTGTCTTCACATCGCGCGGCGGCATGACGCTGCATGCACTTTTTTGCTCATGCGGAGCGAACCCGTGGGCACTATTTGCTGATGCGGAGCGAGCCTCCCTTTCCGCTGACAAGAACACTCCGAACTATTGCCCACGCGCGTGGAAACCTTCCAATCGGTCGACGTGTTCGTTTCGGCGACATTGATGCGATTTGGAACAGAAGGCCGCTTGTCAGGAGGGAGCGCGATCTACCGCCGCTTGGCTGCAAAAATCCCCACTCCAGGAAACCCGGGGGGGGGGGAAGCCCCCCCCTACCAGAACAAATACATGTATTTTTCTGATCGGTCCGATGTGTGCTGAAAAGGCCATCACGCCTGTCACTTTCAGAGGGGTTGTCCGTTTGGGGACATGTCAGACCCGCCGGCAGCGGTTCTCCCACCTACCAGCGAGCGTTTGCGAGGTAAGGCAAATGTCGAAGGCGGGAATTGGAAAGGTGGAAAGGGAAAACACAGGACGGGCCAGGGCTGCACGGAGACCTGACGAAGTGCGCCGCAGCTCCCGTTTGCGATCAACCATTTGTGCGCAGGCCAGAGCGCAACGCCTGTCGTCAAATCACACAACCAAGTGGATCGGTGATAGATGCGGTATAAGTTGAGACATGCGGCGCTGAGACTCGCGAGATAGTCGCCGCATTTGCTGACCTGCCCGCAGTGGGAATTGCGTGGCATCTATGCTGAATTTGTCCGCGGCATTCGACGAACCTTTGTCGAGTGTGAGGGAGATGGCGCAGACGGATGTGAGGCGCAGCGAGTGGGAGGAAGAAGGGGTCACACGAACGCAATAAGTTAGTGCACATGCAAAGAGTGGTTCGGATGATAGTGGGAGCGTTGCATATCACACTATAGCCCGCACCATCATGACTACGGAAATCTGTTGAACGTTCACTTCAAGTGTTTCTACATGCCGAAGCAGTGCGGGCTTGACTAGATTTGAGAGGTGTTTAAGGATCCGATGCGTGAGTTGGGTCTTTGTGGGTACGCTTGTGAGCGTGCTCGATGTGCTGAGAGCAGGTGCCCGCCATTCGGCAAATCACCGCCTATGGAGTGGTGACAGGTTGCTGCAGGCAAGGAATTCATACGGGACCGGCAATTCCTGAAAGAAGGCGCGCATGTCTTGTTCGGGGTCGTTGTTACGTGCCCACCCCGTGAGGCTCCTGCATACCATTGCTGTCCTTTTCCATGATTTTGTTTTCTCCTTTGTGGCCATTTGGGCCCGAAGATTGGGACAACGGAGAGGACTGGAAGTCAAGTTCGAAAGATTGACCGAACATCACCCCCTCCTTGCTCCCCCCGTCCTCCTCCTCGCCCTCTGTGCCCTCACCCTTTCCCTCCCCCCCCTCTTTACACTATCTCCTCCTCCTGCTCCCTCCTCCGCCTCCTCCTCGTCGCCTCTCCTCCTCATCCCCGCCCCTCGTTCTGGGCGGGAGGCCTAGGGGCGAGAGAGGGGCTCGGCGGAGCGCGGGGCCAGAGAAAGAGGCAGAGAAAGAGAGAGAGAGAGAGAGACAGACGCGGGCGCCGTCGCCAGGCCGGCCAGGCCAGCGGCGACGGCGAAGTCGCCGCCGCGGCCGCCACGCCTGGCACACCGCCAGGACAGCCGGCGTCGCGCGGCCCGTCGTCGGCAGCGCTTTCGCAGTTGGCGAGGATGAGGAGGGCCAGGGTAAGCCGAGGATGTGTCAACGATGCTGGAGCGCACCCTTCGCCATGGGGCAACCGCATCCTGAGGGGAACGGGTCCTGAGGCTTCTCGCCGTTCTCGGGCCCTCGAGGCCTTCCACGGGCCCCCGGGACTGTCGGAAAACGGCTCAGGGTGGAGATCCTGTCATGGGGGGAGGCCCTCAGGGTCCAGGACCCGCTTCCCTCAGGACCCGTTTCCCCCATGCTAAATCTTCCAGTAAGGATGGGCGACTTTCCAAGGCCATGCTTGCATCCTTGCCCCTTCGGCCCATCCTTGGCGACTTCCGCTGGCCAACCTCGTTCGAAAAACGTCAACATGGCCCTCCAAGGCCCTTCTTGTACGGGTTGACTGCAAGTCCCCTCCTCGCCAGTCCCTGCAGCCAGCCCTGCTCACTGCGCGCAGCGCCCCCCCCCCCTTGAAGGACGAGGGCCCCTGTTGCCCGCAGGTTCCGTCGGGAGCTCTGCCTCTTGAAGGAGACTGCCCTCCAGCCCTCGCGCTGTCGAAGAAGGCGGCAAGGTGGAGGTCAGCAAAGCTCGAGGAGGTTGCCCTCCAGCCCTCGCCCCGGCCTTGAAGCACCGGCGCCCCTTTTCGGCGACTGCAATCGGTGCGGCTACGCCGGGGTGCGGTTTGCGAGTTGCTTTGTGGCGGCCTTTCCGGGGCATATGTGAGAGACAATGTCATAGTTGTCTTCGTTTCGAGCGACGCTGTCCTCCTCGATGTGTGCTCCTTTGCGCAAGAAGGAGCGACAGTGTCATGTGATTCGGTCGCATTGAGTGACAGTGTCACACGTTTCCCGGGGGCGGGAGGGGCAGATCTGACGGGAGGCAAACCGCACCACCCTTCGCAAACCGCACCCATTGTAGTCGCCGACCTTTTGCCCCCGCAGGTTCCGCCGGGAGCTCCGTGTCCTGCAGGAGACTGCCCATCCAGCCCTCGCGCCGTCGAAGAACGCGGCCAGGCGGGGGCCAGCAGAAAGCTCGAGGAGGTGGGCCCGGCGGCAGCCCCGCTCGGAAGAAAGAGCAGGCGTGGCCTCTGTCCGCGGAGCTGCTGCGCAAACCTCGGCTGCCAGCCCCAGCGAAGCCTTCGTGCGCGAGAGCCCCATCCCGAAAAGGAGCCGCCACGCGTCCGTACAGCTGCCGTGTCACCTCAGTACGGTCAACCCGCACAGTAGGGATGGGCAGCTTTCCCAAGGGCACCCTTGCACACTTGCATATTTGGCACATCCTCGGCCGCTTTCGTTGGCCGCGCCCCGCTCGAAAAGCTTCGAAGTGGGCGTCCAAGACCCTTGCATCCTTATCGCGCATCCTTGTGACACGGGCCGACTGTACTGTGGCCGTGTGGGAGCGGGCCGCCCGCCAATCCGTGCAGCGGCTGGAACTTGTTTGTGTGAATCTGCGCCGCGCCAGGGCGAACGTTCGTTCTGAGAGCGGCCGAGTCCCGAGTCTCCATCCTCGTATCGCCCACGCGCAGAGGGGGGGAAGGGGGAAGGCATTCTTACAAGCCCCGCGCTTCTTAGGAGGCGCCTGCCTCATCTACAGATGTGCAGCGGGCGCCTTCTAGGAAGCAGCCTCCTTCCAAGAAGCCTTCCACCATCCCCCTATCAACTTGTGCGCGCCGCCAATAGACATTCCAAGTGTCAAGATCGCTTGCGGTGAGGAGGTCTCAGGCGGAACGCCCGGACCGCCCTGACGACAAGGCAGGGGTGGAGGTTGTCGGCGTCGTCGCCTCCGGTCCTCCTGCTCCTCGTCGCTCCTCCGCGGCGCGACCGCCACGGGGACGAGGCAACTCTTCGCGGCACTCCGCGCGCCGCTCCGCTGCGCGCTTGTCGCCGCGGGCGCGCGCCAGGACAGCTCCCCGGCGCGCCGCAGCCGGGGCAGCCGGGGACTCCCACAGGCGCAGCGCAGCGCTCTGGAAGAGGAGAAGGAGGGGAGGGAGGGGGAGAAGGGAGGAGGGGAAGGAGGAGGAGGAGGAGGAGGAGGAGGAGGAGGAGGAGGAGGAGGAGGGGGCTTTGGAGGAGGAGGAGGAGGAGGAGCAGGAGCAGGAGGAGCAGGAGGAGGGGAATAGGGAGGACTGAGGCGCGAGGAGCAGTCGTCGTCGCCGCCGCGACCGCTGTCGTCGCCGCAGCTGGGGGCAGGGAGTGGGGAGGAGGGCGCCAGATCTGCAAGCGACCAGGCTGACACGGTTGCCGATCATAGCAGCAGGAGAGGTTGTTACACGCTTTGCGCTGGAAGGCCAAGTTCGGGGGGCTGACGAAGTAGTCGGAGGAGGAAAAGGCACCCATACCGCTCCCCTTCCCTCGTTTAATTGCCCCTTTCTGGGCCTCCTGCGAAGCCAGCGTCGCCACCGCTGGATTCGCCTCGAAATTCTGGTCAGAACGCACCCTGGGAGATGTCTGGCGAGTAGCGATACACGTACCTTTTAGTCTCCCCAATTAGCGTGGCGCGCGCAGAAGGCGGCCAAGAGGCCCAAGGATTGTTACAGGATCACTTTAGAATCGAACGCGGCGGCCCATTCCAGAGCCAGGGCAAAGGGCAAAAGTAGTCTGATGCCGTTCGTCTGGTCCAGTCATGCGTTCAAGACGGACAATGGGCGGCGCCTGATGAGGTTGCGAATGCCCAGTGTCCACAAAGGCCCATTCAGATCACCCCCTCTTACAAGCTGGAGCATTTTAGAGCCTTCGGTTTTGCAGGGGGTGCGGGGCTCAAGGAGTGGAGAATTTTGTTACAATTTCGACGTAGCGCGTGCCAAAATGAATCAAGGATGGGAAAGCCACATCAAGGGCCATTGACCGCGGGCTGCTCCCAAAAGGCGTAGACAAATGGCCAGACTCAGCCCATCAAAATCAGAGCTGAGAGCTCTTGTGCAGTTCTACGGTGTGCGCGCGCACAGATTTCGACCGATTCGAGCGAGCCCGTGAAGGGCAGGCTGCACGACAGGGGGCTGCGGGCCAGGTGATGCTCGGAGCTGGGACGGGGGGTCTGGGGTACACCTTAGGCGATGCTTAAGAAAACCTAAGTTTTCGGCCATAGTCTCGATTATTCTTAATGTTTCAATGTAAATCTTAAGGTTTTCATGGAAACGTTGGGTTTTTATTCAAGTTCTGAGACTATGAATTTCTTAACCCATGATTTCTTAAGCATTTCGCAGGGGGGTCGTGCGCCATGCCTTCCTCCTCCTCCTCCTCGTCCTCCTCGTCCTCCTCCTCCTCCTCCTCCTCCTCCTCCTCCTCCTCCTCCCCCCCTCCAACTTATGGTGGTGGTGGTGGAAAACAGGCTCATCATCAAGGAAAGAACAAACACCCCGATTGCCGTTTACTAGAAACGGCCCTGGTCGGTCCCTGCACGGCCCTGCCTTGTTTGATTTCTTCCTCGGGTGCGCTCTTACTCGACTGCTTCGCTTGTTGGGGTGCTTGCAGTGGAGACCCATGCCAAGAAACACCCTGCTTGCCGCAAGCCTCCAGGGTGCCCTGGGTTTCTTGGGTTTCGATGGTTCAGCTATGGAAAGCGTGACGTTCTCACCCCAAAAATCATTGGACGTCCTGGGGTCTCGGGGCTGGGTTTCTTGTGGAATGTTTCTTGTGGACTGGGCTGTATTGTGAGGGTGGACTTTCTGCTCTCTGAGGCGAGCGGAGCTGCCCCGCCCGGCTCCCTCGGGAGTTCCGGGGACCCCCGGAGACCTCCGGCGATTTCGTTCGGTAGCAAATCATGGGAGCCTCCTGTACCCTCGTAATTCTGTCTTTAGCGTCGACTCGCGCCGATCAGCGTCTGGGAGTCGATGAGGTAGCGCCGATTTAGCGTCGGCTAGCGTCGATCAGCGTCGATTTAGCGTCGACTAGCGTCGACTGGCGTCGATTAGCGTCGATTCGCTAGAGCCGACAAGATGGTACGGGAGGCTCCCGTGAGTTGCCACCGAAACTTCGGAGCGAGGCCCTGGGAGGCCTCGGGAAGGCCCTTCCCCAGGAGGGGGGGCCCCCTGCCTGCTCTCGCGCGCTGGGCCCCAGGAGCGCGCCCTTGCTCTAGATCCTCCTGGCATCGCTCATCGCTCGGACGTGTGCATCTTTCTAGGCCTCCTGGATGGGGTCGGAGCAGATGGGGTCGGAGGATCGCGCCGTATCGCCGATGCGGCTCGATGTGGAGCCCGATTTGCTTCACGTCGACGTCGCCGATACGTCGCCGACGTCAACGATGCGTCGCCGGTGCATCCCCGATGCATCGCTGATGCATCGCCGATGCATCGGCGAGGACCATTGACGAGCATCGCGGATCATGCTCTGGAAACAAGCGCATGAGATCGAGAAATACACACCGGCAAGGGACGTCCGAGCGATGGCAAGTTCTGGCAACTTCACTTGCATGGTACTTCGTCCCCACCCCACCCCATCCCATCCCGCCCCCTCCGCCCCACCCCCCCTCGAGCCGCCTTTTTCGAGCATGGCCGCCTGGCTGAAGAGGCGTGCAAGCGCGCCCCGACGTGCGTGAAGTGCAGATTTCCTCGTGGGCTTCGCTACGACCCCCCCCCCGTCCCCGTCCATGGTCCATACTTCACAGGCGTCACATCTGTTACCCCGAAGGGTGCACCACATTTGGCGGTGTGCCAAGCCAGAGCAGTGGTTTCTCCCCTCCCCCTCCCGACTGCACATCCCCCATCCTCCTCATCCTACTCACCCCCGCCCCCCCCCTTCTCCTGCTGCCCCTCGTCCTCTCCTTCCTCCTCCTCCTGCTCCTCCTCCTCCTCCTCCTCCTCCTCCTCCTCATGCTCCTGCTCCTGCTCCTCCTCCTCCTCCTCCTCCTCCTGCTCCTCCTCCTCCTCCTGCTCCTCCTGATCCTCCTTCTCCTCCTCGTCCTCCTGATCCTCCTTCTCCTCCTCCTCCTCCTCCTGCTCCTCCTGCTCCTCCTCCGCCTCCTCCTTGCCAGAATCCGAAAGAAAACTGGCACTCTTCAAACATGGCCTCTGGCCTGTGCCGCCGCTCCGGGGCGATCCTGGTGCTTGAGGGCCGCCGTTTCGCGGCGATGGGCGAGGAGGTCTGAGGTTCGAGGCGCTCGGAGGTCTTCGCTGGTTCTCAGGTCAGCGTTTTCGCTCCCGAGCAGTAACCTCATGCACCAGTTCGGCCTCAGCGCTCGCCGCCCAATTTGAATTTTGTATAGGGCGACGATAATCAACTCTAAACACTGAAGGGGGGGTCCCTTTATTATCATCGGCATGCGGTTATCCAATCGGACCATGCACCTCTGGCCTGGCAGCGCGCGAGGCGGCGCCTCTGGGGGCCTCATGGTGGCCTTTTGGGGGGACTTCTCGGAGGCCTCGTGGGGCCTCCAGGCTGCCTCTTGGGGGTCTTTGGGGGGGCCTCTTAGACCCCACGGGGGTGCCTCGGGAGGCTCTTTGGGGCTGTGGGGTCATCTTGGGGTGAAGGGCTCGAAGGGTCAGTTCGAGATCCCCTCTTGGGCCCCCATTGGGCTGTCTTGGGGGTCTCTTGGGGTCGTTTCGGGGGCCTCCTTTGACGTCTTGGGACCCTCTTGGGCCGTCTTGGGTCCCTCTTGGGGGCCTCTTGGGCTATCCTGTGGCGGTCTTGGGGGGCCTCTTGGGCCGTCTTGGGCGCAGCTAAGACCAGGCAGACAATATTGTTAACGCTGAGCAGTAACCTAAGGACTTGGGCCGATATGGGTCTCTTGGGGTCTTCTGGGGGGTCCTCTTGGGGCCCTCTTGAAGCGTCTTGGAGGCCTCTGGGGCCGTCTTGAAGCCATCTCTGGCGTCCTGGAGCGCTCTTGGGCTGTCTCGTGCGCCTCTTGGACAGTCTAGGTGGCCTCCTGGGTTCCTTTTGGCTGTTTTTGGCGCGGTTTGGGAATTTGGTGCCCCTCTCCCCTGCAGAGCCACCCGGGCACATCCTCCAAGCAGAGCTGAAGCTCAGGTTGTATATTCAGCAGAGCTGAAGCCTGAACCAGGCCTCTTCAAAACTCACACGCCGGGAAGGCCTCAGGAAGGCCTCCCTCAAGAATCCGTAGCCATTTTGGCTCAAGGCCGCTCCAGCTCAGGCGCTCAGGAGCGGCGGCCGCCACACCTGCGGCCCGGGCCGCGCAGCGCACCGGAGCACACCGCCCAGGGCGGCTCGGCGCCGTGCCATGGCGCACAGAGAGCTGCTGACCACGAAGAACGCCTTCCACGGCACGTACCTCCCAGATTTGGTGAAGGTGGGGCTCCTCTCGGGGCCGCTGGAGTGTGCCGAGGACGTCAATCACGCGCTCCAGCAGGAGTGCCAGCTCGAGATCGACAGCAGCATGCACGACATCGTCTCTACCAACGTTGGCCCTTCCAGCGTTGGCTGCATCAGCGTTGGCTATCCCAACGCTCCTGGTCATGCCGTCGTCAGGGACAACCACGACGGCAAGGCTGCCGATCGAATCTCAGCTCCATGCACAGGTACTTTTTCTTTCAATTCGGATTGCACGGTCAATTGCAGCATACAGGCAGCTACTGAGCCTGAATTCGACAACCACGCCTTCAGCGAGCGTGGCATCCTCAGGAAGGGCGCGGCCTCCCGCCTGCTGGGCGGCGGCCGCAAGGCCACGCAGCCGAAGGCCGAGGACATGAAGCTCCTCGAGGGGCTGCGCCTACTCTTGGGCGCTCCAGCGCAGGCGCCCCCCAAGCAGCCGCCGCAGCAGCCACAGCAGCCGCAGCAGCGACGGGGCAAACAGACCTTGCGAGAGGCGTTGCAGGACGCTCTCGGCTGGGCTCGGACGGACAACGCACTGAAGGGCAAGCTCGTGAAGATCCTCAGGGCAGTGGACGGTGGGCACATCACCCTGAGCGCGGACGGGAACAGCAGCGGCGCCCCTCCGGCGGGCGACAACAAAGGCAAGGGCGCCGCCGCGGCTCACAGCAGCGGCGGCGGCAAGGGCAAGGGCGGCGAGGCCGCCAACCTCGGCGCCACGGGCGCCAAAGCCAAGGACAAGACCGCCTCCGGGAACCCCAACGGCAGCGGCAAAGGCAAGGACAACGGCACCGGCAAGCCTCCCGCGAAGACTGGGAGTGGCGCCTGGTCGCTCTGGCAGCGCGACTGGCCGGATGCGACGCTCAGCCGGGCCGGCGCCGTGCTCGGCAAGCTCAGGCAGGCCGAGCTGCCCAGCAAGGGACAGACAGCCACCCTCGCCGACACCGTCGAGGAGGCCGACGAGATGCTCGCGCTCTGGCGGCAGCACTTCGGCGAGAACAGCGCGGGCGAGGAGGCCGCCAAGGACGCCAGCCTCACCGTGGGTGTCGTGGTCAATCCGGTGGCCGGCGTCTCCTGGAAGCCGTCAGGGGCGGCGCGCGCCGCCACCAAGCACATCACCCTGTCCAAGATGGAGCCGAACGAGAAGCTTCAGATCAAGCTGGTCGCCCTGGCCACGGTCGGCAAGGAGGTCACTGGACCTGCCGGCCCGGTCGTCCAGAGCGCCGCGAAGCTTCCAGTCAAGGTGGACACGATCACCGTGCGCCTCACGGTCTTCGACAAGTACATGGACGCCCTGAGCTTGGGGAACGCCAACGCCCTGCTCAAGCAGGTCTGGCCGGCCGGGGCGAAAGGCATGCAGTTGGGCAATTGGCGGCCCACGGGCTCGCACGACGAGGCCCAGAGCTACAACATGTACGTCACTGGCACCAAAGAGCAGGTCGACGCCCTCATTGCCATCAGCGGCAAGAAGGGCGTTTTCGCGGGGCACCTCGCCACGAACAGGAACAAGATGGCGCGCACTACGGTGTCGTGGGTGCCGCGGCCAGCGGACAGCACGGACACGGACAAGGAGTACCTCGAGATTGCCCTCCAAGCCGCAGCGGGCGCCCCGCTGGTCCACCGGATCGGCGGCGGGCCAGACCTCGGCTTCGAACGAGCGGGGATAGACGTCAAAGCGTCCCCGCCTTTCGTCTGGAAGGCCACGACTCCCAAGTGGTGGCGTTCAGATCAACTGGAGAGTTTCCTGACAGGGAACGGCTGGACGGAGCCGCAGGTGACCGGCGACCTGGGGCACGGTGTCTGGCGGTTCCGCGCCAAGGCGCGGCCCGCGGAAAGCACTTCGTACATGTGGGAGGGCGCCGACCCGTCCGAGAAGATCACTGCTCTGCCAATGCCGCGGAAGGTCAAGCAGGAGACGGTGGGCAAGCAGCTCCGCAGGCCCGCGCTCCCCTGGCTCGACGACGAGGACACCGAGCCAGACGACGACGTCGCCATGGACGACGCGGACAAGAAGGATCAGCCTGGCGCTGGAGGCCCTCCCGCGCCGGCAGCGGCCGCGGGCGGTCAGGGCGCCGACCAACAGGGAAAGCAGCAGGACCAGCAGCCGCCCCGGGACCCAGCCACCAAGCAGGGCAAGGGCGCGGACGACGGCGACCGGGCCCACAAGCGGCTCAGGCTCGATGGCAACAACGTCATCAAGGACAAGACGTGCATCCTCGACGGCTACGAGGTGGTCGAAACCGGCGGCAAGGGTGCATGCGGCTACTGCGCGGTGGTGGGCTCGGGCAAGATGGCCAAGGACACCGCGGCCGATCTAAGCTCCCAGGAGGTGCTGGACAAGATCATGAAAGAGGCCGGCACCCTCCGGGTCCAGACGGTCCAGCAGATGACCAACAACCCCGACGTGTGGGAGCAGTACTGGTGCTTCGACCCTAAGGCCGCGAGCCACACGGGACGCACGTGGGCCGAGTACCTGAACAAGTGCACGGACAACGCTTTCTACATGGACGAGCTCCAGCTCACGGCGACCGCGACGCGGCTCAAGCGGATGATCACGGTCGTCTACCGGGACGACAAGAACGGATGGGCCAGGAGGACCCTGGGCGACCAGTTCCGCAAGAAGGGGTGGTTCGTCTTGACGCTCGTGAATGAGCACTTCCAGGCAGTCCGCCCGGTGGCTTCTGGCTGGCCGGAGGCTCTCGCCGAGGACGTGGGGGGAACATGCCTTGCAGGGGCAGAGGAGGCGGCCGCTCGGTGCCACCCCCGGCCTCCACGAGCAGCAGGGCGCGCTCGCGACCCCCCGCCGGCGCCGGCCGGCACGTGCAGCAGGCAGCCTCACCAGCTACGGCGTTCTCCTGGGCCACGCGGAGCCGGGCTGGCAGCCGCGGCAGCAAGGCGGCGCGGGCCCACGCCCCGGCGCCTCGGCCACGAGCATCAACAACTTCCTCCTCTACTCCTCCCCTCCAATCTGGACACGACGACGTACGTGATGAAGGCGGTCGTGGCGGTGGAGGGGGACGAGCTGTTCCAGGGAGCGCGAGGACGCCGGCGCAGGCCCCGCAGTCGCCGGCCTTCTCCTGGCTCTCAGAGGACACCTTCGCCAGGGACGCCGCGAGGCCGGCCAGCGCGGCGGGCCGTGGCCAGCCCGGCGCGCGGACGTCGAGGGCAGCAGGGGTTTCCTCGGAGCCACGGCTGGACGCAGCTCGAAAAACTCCACTTGCACTGTCGACGGCGGCTTTCTCGTGGCTCTCCGGAAGTGCCTCCGAGTGCAACAGCAGCATCAAGGGTGCCGCGCCGGTCGGTGCACGGACTACGAAGGCGCGGAGTTCCGCGGGCGCAGCTTCGCCCCGTTCTACGGCAGCTTTCTCCTGGCTCTCTGGCCGGCCGCAGGCCTCCGAGGGCGGGCCGCTGGCGCTGGCCTTGGCTCCCCCTCCGCCTCGAGGCCGGCAGGGTGGACGGCAGGCTCGCGAGGGCCCGCTCAGACGATCAGATTGCGTGCGAGGAGTTCGAAACGTTCCTCTGCTCTGCACGCGCGGCGTACTCGCACGAGGACCGGGCCCTTCCCGCAGCCCAGAAAGCGGAGATGGACGGGCTGACTGATCAGATGCATCAGTGGCTGGACTCCTCGAGGGCCGGCGGCCGGGCCCCCACTCGAGCAGCCGTCAATGAGAAGCGCATCGGGTACGACGCGGCGCTCACCAGGTGTACACTTGCTCACCCGCTCCGGGGAGACAGCTATGCCTGCCCCTGCGGCTGGCGGCCGAGCCCGGGCGCGGACTGGAAGACCAACAACGACCTTGCACGTGCACATTGGTCAGCGTGCCAGCCTGGGCGGAGGTGGCCCCGGCTGCCGGCGGAGAAGAAAAGAGCCTACTCACCAAGTATCGGGGCAACCACGTGGCCGGCTGCAGCGCAGCCGCCTGGGCGAAGTACGACGGGCGCATGGGCACCATGACGGGCGATTTCAAGGCGAAGTGCTGCGACCTCGACCGCACGGACCAGCAGTGCACCAAGAACACGATCGGCTGCAAGCTCACGGCCTTCAAGTGCACGCGGTGCGACGCATACGTCCAAAGGAACAGGGTCTGGGAAAGGCCGTGCCCTGCGGCGGGCAAGAGGCCGCTCGGGCAGAAGAAAGGCGGCGGGCCCTTGGACCTCCCCACGCTGTGGGAGTGGCGGGCTGCAGCCAAGGGCTTGTCTGGGCAAGCCGCCAAGGACAACGTGGCCGGGCAGGCCGCCAAGTCTAACGCGAAGAACTTGGCGTGGCAGCGCAAGCGGAAGCTCGACCGCACGGACGCGGAGAGGGCCGAGGACAACCGCAAGCGGAGGCCCGCGGCCAGGGCGGCGGCCAGCGGGGCTGCCACAGCGGCCGGCTGCTGACAAACGGCCGGCCGGCGCGTCCACTCCAGCAGGCGCGTCGGCCACTGGCCGTGGCACCACGCCACGCGCGTGGGGGAGGCGTCCAATCCTGGACCGCCCCAAGCAGGGAGGCCGCGGCAGGCTTCCGACGGACAGCTCCGAGTGTGGTCGTGCAACGTCAACGGCCTCAAAGACCAAGGCCCGGACCGCCGCCAGCAAGGCAGTGTGAACACGGGAAAATGGGACAGGGTTTTGGGCCAGCTCGCCGAGCATCGGGCCCAGGTGTGCGCGCTGCAGGAGACGCACATGGACACTTTCAGCTCCAGACGCTTCGTGGCGCAGGCCAGGGCGGGGGGCTTCGACAGCTGCTACACGTCCGCGGGCACAAACAGCTCGGCTGGGGTGGCGCTCCTTGGCCCGCCAGAGCTCCGCGAGGACCCCTGGGCGTGGGGCGGCAGGCACCAAGGCCGAGTGGTCTCTGGAATCCTCAGCGTCCGGGGCCAGGCCGACGTCTTGATCGTCGTCGTCTACGGAGACGTCAACAGCCAGGACAACCGCGCAAGCCTCTACGACGACGTGGCCGCGCGAGCCGCCCAGGCAGGACTGCCGACGATCGTTGTGGGGGATTTCAACTGCGAGCCCTACGACTCCGAGCTCTTCGCTTTCCGCGACATGAACTACTGCCACGAGATGCTGGACATTCAGGACATTACCACCCACGGGGAGAGGCTCCTGGACTTCGCCTGCTTGCAGCAGCTGGAGGCCCAGACCTTCGCCACGGACACGGCCATTAGCGACCACGACGCGATCGTTTTTGAGCTCTGGCGGGAGCTCCGGACGCAGGTGCAGACCGTGGTCAAGTTCGACGAGCTCAACCCGCCGCTCGCGACGGAGGACTGGGACGAGACCTTCTCCCAGGCCATGGACAAGCGCAGAGACGAGTGGGACGCTGCAGCGGCCCGCCAGGATGTGGAAGCTATGTGGGCCCTCTGGTGCGACATGCTCGAGGACTCCGCCGGCGTCCCGGGCAACAGGCATCGGCGCAAACACGGCACCGTGCTCAAGCGCTGGGAACGGGTCTGCAAGGGCCCAGACGGACAGCGGCAGACGGTGGTCGAGAGACGTCTCCACAGGCTGCTCCGGCGTGTCCACCACGCCCTCGAAGGGCCCCGGGCCGGCTCCGACGGCCTCTCCCTCTTTGGCAATATCCGCAGCGGGGTACAGAGCCTCGTCGACGACGGCGTCCTGGGCGAGGGCACCGCGGCCGACGGCGAGGATTTGGCAGCGCTCCGCACAACGATCCTCGCGAAGCTCCAGCAGCTGGCCGAGGAGAACAAGCAGCGCCGGCTCGCGGCGTGGAGGGAGCGGCAGCAGGCTGGAGACCTCAAGGCAACTTTCCGGTACGTGGCCGACAGGCCCCCGCTCTCTGTGAAGGCGGCCTCAGACCAGCGTGGCCGGCCCACGGCCGACCCCAAGGCCATCGTCGCGGCAGCTGTGCGACAGTGGAGGAAGAAGCAGCACCCGCGTCTGGGGCAGCACCAGATCGGCGACTACCTCCGGGAGGTGAGGGACGTTGTCGAGCACGTGGAGCCGCCGGACATTGGCTGGATGTTCGAGGCGCCGGAGCTCCGGGCCGCCCTCCGAAAGACCGCCGGCACTGCGGCGGGCCCCGGGCAAATCAAAGCAGAGCAGCTCGCACAGGCCCCTGGCATCGTGCTGGACCTCCTGGCAGACCTGGCAAACGCCATCAGAGACACGGGGACTTGGCCCGCGGCCCTCAAGGCGCAGGAGGTGACCATGATCCCAAAGACCAGTGACAAGCCCGACTTGCGGCCTATTGGCGTCGCCCAGTCTGTCGCCCGGGCCATCAGCAGGGTCGCTGTCAGCAAGTACAAGCAGTGGGCCAGCCAGGTCCAGCCCACGGATGCGCACGAGATCCTGCTCACGGTGGACCTCGCTATCGAAAAGGCCGCCCACGAGGGCACCCCGCTGCACATTCGCCAGAGCGACCTCTCGAACTGCTTCACGCGGATCCAGCCGGAGCTCGTGGTCGAGGTTGCCGTGCTCTTCGGCATGCACCGAAAGGACGCAGTGCTCCTCTTCATGAACAATGTCGGCCGCGACACGGTGGTCAAGGTGAGCGGCTACGCCAGCGACTTGCTCCTGGTGCTGCGCGGCCTGGCACAAGGCGACCCCGCCTCTCCGCTCGGCGCAGCTATCCTGGCGGGCGCCCACGCGCGCAAGGTCTGCTCCGTCTTCGATGTGGGCATGGGCACCTACGTGGACGACCGGACCACCTACGCCAACGACAGGGACACCCTGGACGGCGCCGAAGCCCTGCTCAGGCGCCTGGACGAGCTGAGCGGCCAGAAGGAGGACGACAGCAAGCAGGACAGGGCGGCGGTGAACGTCGCCGGCGGCCAGAACAAGGACCACCTCGACTTGCTCGGCGTGCGGCTGGACCTCACTGGCCGGAAGCCGCCAGCGGCCGCCCCGCGAGCCAGGAAGCGGGTGGCCAACCTGCTCGACAAGCTGCGTCGGCTGCGCACCGTGGCCAAGGCAGCGCGCCTCGGGCGCAGGGCAAGGAAGCGGGTCGTCATGGCCCTGGCGGGCAGCATTCGGTGGGACGCGCCGTGGTGCTCGTTCCCCAAGGAGACCGTGACCCGCGTCCGGTCTGCCATGGAGTTGGCACTGGAAAGCAGACGCAGGCACGCAGCCTGGCGCCACAAGGGCGCGGCATGGTGCATGGAGGACAAGGCCTGGAAGTTCGACCCCGACGGCCTCGCGCTCTGGGCCCGCGGTGGAGGCGCGGTGGGACCACTGCGACGGCAGCGGCCTGCGCTGGCTGGACCGGGTCCGCGGGGTCCTGGAGACCATGGGCTGGCACCCCGGCCCGTCGCCCTTCGAGGTCGCCTTCGGCGGTGACGGCTTCCACCTCGCGGAGGTGTCAAAGAGCTTTCTGGGCCACTGCGTTCGCGAGACGTGGCGGGCCCACATGATGCGGACCTGCAGAATAACCGCCAGGAAGGTGCCGGTCGAGGTGCCGAGCTTGGACGTCAAGACGTTGCGGCGCTTCGTGGAGGAGGCGCCGACGGCCGCGGAGCAGAGGTGGCGGTGGCGATGCTGTGTTGGCGCCGAGCCTTCTCCAGACCGCCTCAGCCACGTCACGGACGAAGTGGCGCATGACTGCCCCATCTGCCACACTGCTGCGACCACGTGGCACTTGATGTGGCGGTGCGACGCCACCGAGCATGAGCGGCAGCGCCGGGGCCTCCACGAGGCCACCATCGGCAGGCATCTGCCTCAGCACGAACGGTCCGCCCTTCTTCTCAATGGGTGGACGAGGGCCGAATGGGACCCCCCTGACGGCCAGTCGCATGATGCGCACCGCGCGGCCGCCAAGGGCCAGGGGAAGCTCGCCTTGAACATCCTGCGCTTGAAGGACCGGGTCCTGAAGCGCTACTGGGACATCTTCGTGGGCATCGCGCCGGAAGCGGGCCACGGCAGCAACCAGGCCGCGAGGCAGGGCAGACCACTGCCACGAGCAGGCCCTCCCTCCTCCTCCCCCCTCCTGCCTGCACGAGGAGGACGTCGAGGAGGTCGAGGAGGAGGGCGAGGACGACGAGGACGAGGCGGAGGAGGCAGGGCGGCGCTGCCGGCCCTCTCCCGTCCCGACACGAGCAACCAGACGCCGGCCGGGCTGGCGAACCAGGACATCCCGCAGCACGCCGGGGACAGGGACATTTCGCAGCACGCCGCGGCGGCAGCTGCGCCGGCCGACCGGCCACGAGCACCTTCCTCTCCCCCCCTCCTCCCATCCAGCCTGCAGGATGAGGATTTTCGTGGAGGGCGTGGACGTGGACGCGGAGGACGAGGAGCAGCAGGAGGCAGAGGCAGCGCGTCGCCGTCGCCGCCTTTCTCTTGGCTCAGCGCAGAACAGCAGCTTCAGCCGCAAGGCGCCTAGCGGAAGCATGATGGATCGTAAGACTTTGTCATCTTGGTTCATCGACACAGCTTCCCTGACCACGAAGAACACCTTCCTGGACTGCCCGTCCCCCTGGACGGAGCCCGTGGAGCTGCCTCAGCGGCCCAGCTCCGACCCCGCCGTCTCAACCCCCGGCGCTTCCACCGACGGGGGCAGCGCCCTCACGGACCAGACCGAGTCCTCCGTGGACAGACCCTGTGCGGCGGGCCCCCGCGAGCCGAGCGGCGCGAGCAGGGAGGGCGCGGCCTTCGTGCCCATGTCGAAGACGAAGCGCCGCGCCAAGCAGCGCAGGGACGCGAAGGAGATCAAGGCCAGGGTCGCCCGCAGCGACTCTTCCGTCGCGAGCTCGGCGTCTACGGGCCCGCAGCCCTCGGCAACGGAGTACCTGTCGCTGAGGGAGGCCGTCGACGCTGCCAAGTTGGAGACTTCGGGCGGCGCCTCGCCATGTGCGAAGGCCACGACGAAGCTCTCGCTGTGAGGGCGAGGTGAGGGAGGCGGTGTCGCGAGGAAGCGACGGCCTCCGCTTTGGGGATAGAGTCCTCACATTTGTTTTTGCAGTCATGTTCCCTAGGGCCAAGGCAAGCCCTCCTCCCCATCACATGACACAGGAGACCCCAACAGGCACCAAAGATCCAAGATAGACATCAGGCAGCAGGAGCTGGGGTCATCGTCCACGCTATAGATTTCCCCGACGTCCGATCGGCTCTGCGACCAGGGACCAGTTTTCATTCACGTGCACAGCAGATTATTATCGTTGCACTGTGCGTCTGCGGCGTAAGTTTATGTATCAACGTTTGTCCCTGGTCGCCCTGGCTCTTTCCGTTTTTCTCCAAGGCACTTCGCGTGACCGCCTTGCCAGTTGCCAGTGCACTCTGACTTCGCCAGCGGCCGACGCCATTTTCACTCACAGCCTTCCTCTCCTACTAAGAGGAGGAGGAGCTGGAGCGGCTGGCCGGTTTCCTCTGCGTTTGCCCCTTCTTCCTCCCCCCCTCGCTCTGAAGCCGCGCGCCACTTTTGTTTTCCACGCCAGTAATTTCTGGGCGTTTCGGCCGCCCCCTCCCTCCCTTCCCTGTGCTATTCGTCCCCATCCTCCTCCTCCTCCTCCTCCTCCTCCTCCTCCTCCTCCTCCTCTTCCCCCCTGTCTTCGTTGTCTGCCTCAGAGTTTGCGGCCATGGCCACCGGGGGATGCGTGGAAGAGCGCGCCTTCGCGGAGCGCCTGGGCCGCCCGAGCGTGCAGCCGCGCCCGATCGCGGCCGCCTGCGGCGGCCGAGGCGGACTGGCGAGGGGCCCGCCACCGGCAGTCTCGGCGGCCGCGGTAGAGGAGGACGCGGCCGCATCAACAGTGGCACATTGGTCCCGCCAAAAAAGGCCGAGGGGGGGGGCAGAAACGAGGAGAGTGGGGGGAAGCCAATACAGTTCATAGGCCGCCATTCTCTCACAGTTCCGAGAGGACAGATGGCTCGAGCATTGGCGGTAAGTGCCTGCTCAGAAGACCTTATTCGTGTTCGTGCCGCCCGCGTCTTTGCCGCGGGCCGCTACGCGATGACACGATGGCGCCAAGCTGTCGGCGCAGCGCTGGTTTTTTTGAATTATCGTTTCGCTAATGTTTGAAATAGCGAAGGCGAATCACACGCACGCGCAGGCACGGCCGCCAGGCGTGGTGGAGTTCTTGGGATCACCAGACGCCCTTCAGCCGGACTGATTTCGATATTCTCTCCGTGAGCGTGTGTTTGGCGACATACTTATTTCAGATTGACAATAGGTAAGGTCTATCTGTCTGGGGTAAGGTCTATCTGTCTGGGCCGAGCCGGAGGGTGTCGGTCCATGCCGGGGCTCGCTGCCGTGTCCGGCCTTCACGCCTTGAGGGCGGCGCGCAGCGCCAGCATCGCACGGGAGGCGAGGCGGATTCCCAGACATGCGACGTCTTGTTTTTGTCCAAGACGCGTTCCCTGGAAGTGCCGACCACGCCCCCAGAGCCCGCTTTTCATACCGAGCTCATTGGGCCGCTGGCCTTGATCTGGAGAGGAATCCAATCCGGACGCAAAGTCTGTAGGACTATCCGTTTGAACCGTGGTACAAGAAACCGCCAAGCTTGTCGGTTTGGTGCTCGCCTGGCAAGGCCCATGCGACACCTCCGCGGCCCGCACACGCTCGATGGGGACCCTCGAGAGGCGAAAGACCAAAGAGGCATGGTGCTTGCGAGAGGAAAACAGGAAAAACAAAAAAGGAAGGCCTCCCTCAAGAAGGAGCCCCCTACCTGCGCGCTGGTCCCCTTGGCCCTTCGTCGGCCTTCGGTGGGTCCCTCGTCTTCGCGGGCTGGGCGCAGCGTCGAAGGCTGATCAGGGTTGTGACGGAGGAGGAGGAGGAGGAGGAGGAGGAGGAGGAGGAGGAAGAGGAGGAGGAGGAGGAGGAGCGGGGAAACGGAGGATGGAAGAGGGTGAAAGGGGAAGCGGGAGGATGAAGAAGAAACATAAAGAGATTGGCGGAGGAGGAGGAGGCGGAGGAGGAGGAGGAGGAAGAGGAGGAGGAGGAAGAGGAGGACCAGTGCAAGCCCAAGACTCATGAACGATAGGCTCCTATACGGATGTATTCTCACTGCGGGAACAGCCCCGTTCCAAGACAACCGTCTGGAAGTCTTCAACCGGTGCCAAAGTACCATTCTTGAGATTTCGACGCCGCGAAACAAAGCGAATCAACATCACTGCCGCGACCTGACTGTCCTAAATCGCGCCAGAACACCATTCTGGTACGCCAACACCGCGAGTCAACGTGACTGTCGCGCCCTGACAATTCCAACTCGTGCCGAAACACAATTTCTGGTACGACAGCCATAAGAATAGGTGAGACTGCTGTACACTGCTGAGACGCGTGCACGCGGCGCTAAGGCGAGAGCCACTTTTTGAAAAGGAGCCGCGGATTGCAATCCTTTGTTGCAATCCTTCGGTTTTTGTTGCAATCCTTCGGTTTTTGTTGCAATCCTTCGGTTTTTGTTGCAATCCTTCGGTTTTTGTTGCAATCTTTGGTTTTTGTTGCAATCCCGCGGCGCTAAGGCGAGAGCCACTTTTTGAAAAGGAGCCGCCATCCATCAGTGAAAATCCTGCAGACTTTTACGACGAGTGTGCGCGGCGCTGAGGCGAGGGCTACGCTTTGAAGAGGAACCACCCTGCATCCGTAGAGCTCTGGAAGACTTGTACACCTCAGGCGATGCTTAAGAAAACTGAAGTTTTCGGCCAGAGTCTTGATTAGTCTTAACGTTTCGATGTAAATCCTAAGATTTGTATAGAAATGTTGGGTTTTTATTCCAGTTCTGAGACTATGAATTTCTTAACCCATGATTTCTTAAGCATTTCGCAGGGTGTACGGTGAATGTGCGGCGCTAAGGCGAAAGCCACATTTTGAAAAAGGCCCGCCCTCCATCCGTGAAGCTTTTGTGAACTTTTACGTCGACTGTGCACGGGGCTCAGGTGAGGGCCACATTTTTTAACTGACCCGCCCTCCATCCGTAAAGCCCTTGCAAATGAAGACGAATGTGCGCGGCGCTCAGGTGAGGACCTCATTTTGAAAACGACCCGTCATCCGAGAAACTCTTGCGAACCTTGGAAACGAATGTGCGCGGTGCTAAGACGAGGTCACATATTGAAAACGACCCGCCCTCCATCCGTGAATCCCTTGCAAATTTCAAGTTTCAGGATCATAAGTGGTGAGGGGTTCTCAGGCGAAACGCCCAGCCCGCCCCATCGGCCCGTCTCGAGGTGCGTCAGGGAGGAGTTATTTACAAAAGGAGACGGATGAAGGGAACATTATGATCGCCTCTCTCTCTCTCTGTCTGTCTCTTTCTCTCTCTCTCTCTCGCGCGCGCTCTTGCAAATGCATGGGCGCCTCTCGAGCTACGTGCCCTGCTGTGTGTGGTGTGGGTGGGTCGTGCTGGGGGGCCCCAAGCCTGGGGCCCGGCTCTGATGCTGCTGGCCTCTCAGATCTGGCTTGGGCCCATCATGTCCCCACATGTCCTCTCCATCTTGCTCTGCGTCGCCATTGGAGCCACCAGCCAGGGAGCCTGAAGCCATCCCCCTCCTCCTCCTCCTCCTCCTCCTCCTCCTCCTCCTCCTCCTCCGCCTCCTCCTCCTCCTCCTCCTCCTCGAGCGATAGAACGGCGCCCACCCCTTTAGCAGCGGATGCATATCCATTCCAGCCACTCCCAGGCCGCGCTTCTATCTGCAGAGAGAAGAGGTTTGCAGAGAGTCAAGACAGGTGTCGCAAATGAGCGACGCCAAAACAACGGGGTCGTCTTCACCGACATTGGCGCGTAAGCTGCCCGCGAAGCGCCCTCGTCTCCAATGTGGCGTGCCGCGCCAGCGGCCCGTGTTAGCCACCGCGCAAGGCCGGGACTGTCATCTCGCGGAAGACCTTTCTCTTTTCGTCGCTCGAATGTGCCTCATTTTGCCCTCCTCTCCCCTCCGAGGCCTCCTCCTGAGAGCCTCCTCCTCCTCCTCCTCCTCCTCCTCCTCCTCCTCCTCCTCCTCCTCCTCCTCCTCCTCCTCCTCCTCCTCCTCCCCCTCCTCCCCCTCGCGCCGCCGATGCTGCTCCTCCCCCTCCGACGGGCCGCCGGTGCCGACGCGGCGGGCCGCAGGCGCGGCGCCGGCGGCCAGCTCCGCAGGGCCGGGCGTGCCGCCCCTGGCCTCCGAGGCGCGGGGCGGGGGGGGGGCCTCCGCCGGGGGCGGCGGTCTCGGCGCGAGGCCTCCGGGTCGGGCGACGGAAGCTATGCCCCGAGATCGGTGTCCACAGTGGTTGAGGCGACACCTCGCTATGATGCAGCACTCTTCTCACACCCGGGAGTGTTACAGAAGACCGGCTTTTTCAATTAGGCCACGCCGTGTTGGAACCACACACATTGCCGGCTCGCGTTCATGGGCAACCGAAAAAAAAAACAACAACAAAAAAGCCATGCCCCGAGATCCGAGGGTGCGATTTTTTCAACGCGGCGGTTTTTCCCGCACCTCTGCCTCTGGGGCCCGTTATCTCACCACCCACCAAACCACCCCAACCCAACCCGAAAATTCAGATTTACCCTCGATTTCTAGTGGGGGGGGGGTCCGGGAACATCGAAAAAACACATATGGAACCCATACCCCCCCTAACCTGAAATTCGGGTCTTCGGGTTGGGTTGGGGTGGTCTGGTAGGTAGTCATTATCGGGCCCGGGGGCCATCAAAAATGGATCCGGGGCGACAAACCACCCCCGGGGAAGGGGTCGGGACCTCTGGCGCCGCGGATGGAAGAAGTCAGATCGGCGGATGTCTGGGTGCCTATCCACTGCTCCCTGGCCTCCTCCTCCTCGTCCTCCTCCTCCTCCTCCTCCTCCTCCTCCTCCTCCTCCTCCTCCCCCTTTTCCTCCTCCTCCCCCTCCTCCTCCTCCTCCTCCTCCCGGAGGCGGAGGATGTTATCCAGCGTGGCGTCGATCCCAGGATGGTCCGCGGCAGTGCACGGCCTCCTGGCCAAAAGCGAGGAGGGCGTGGCGTATATGCACAGCTGCTGGGTTCAGGGCGGGCCTGGCCAGGGAGCAACGGATGCGTACAGACATGGTCGCCCTATCATCGAAGAAGAAAAAGCGGCATAAACATATACTTTTGGCGCTCCGCGCGGATTTCTTGGATCCGCGCCAGGCCCCCCCTGGCGGCGCCGCCCCTGGCGCCCACTGCGCGTCAGGGAGAGGGGTCCGGCGCAGATCCAAGAAATCCGTGCGGAGCGCCAGAAGCTCATGTTTGCGCCGCTCCCTTCCTCTCCTCCCGGGCCACCCAGGTGAGGAGGCTCCTGTGCCCCCCCCCCGGCAGCCAGGCCTCGGCCCTCGCCCTCGAGGGTCCTTGCCTGCGCGTGCCGTGGGGCGCTCGCGCCCTTGGGGTCCGTGCCTCCTCCTCCTCCTCCTCCTCCTCCTCCTCCGCCGCCTCCTCCTCCTCCTCCTCCTCCTCCTCCTCCTCCTCCTCCTCCTCCTCCTCCTCCTCCGCCTCCTCCTCCTCCTCCTCCTCGCGACGTGTCAGGCCCGACCGCCGCGCAGGTGGATGCATGGTCGCCCCGCCTGCGATCGCAGGCGCGCGGCGCAGATGGCGCTGTCGAGGCGGCGGTCGGCACCGCCGCCACATCTCAAGGGCTGGAGGAGCGTGCCGGTCCGTCGTCGTCGGCCTTGTCGTCGTCGGTCTATGGGCTGAGGCTCCACCAGTTGATTGATTCGGAGGTGGCCTCCCTCCACGGCTTTTCGCCCCCCACTGCCGTTGTTGAGTTTGCAGCAGAATACTGTGTGTTTCGTGTTTTCGCGGCCGATGAGCCGAGCATTTCCTCTGGGATTCGATGTGTAGCCAGTCTCAGCCTCAGCCTCCTCCTCCTCCTCCTCCTCCTCCTCCTCCTCCTCCTCCTCCTCCTCCGTATCCTCTTTATCATTATCCTCCTCCTCCTCCTCCTCCTCCTGCTGGTCCTCCTCCTCCTCCACCTCCTTCTTTTCCTCCTCCTCCTTCTTTTCCTCCTGTGCTCGTCCTACTGCTCGTCCGCCACCTCTCCTCCAATGTACGCAGCTCCCGATTGCGCATACCACGATTGGGTCTTCTTCGGAATTTCAGGTCCTCTATGACACGCGTCGGCGGATACAGAAAACACAGCGCAATGAGAAGGGATGGGTGGGAGGGGTAAGATGTCAGAAAAGGCGTAAGCGCATAGCTTGTCTCTGTTCTCTCTCTCTCTCTCTCTTTCTCTCTCTTTCTCTCTCTCTCTCTCTCTCTTTCTTCTCTCTCCCCTGCAGCCGACAAAACACATGGCGTCGACCCCGATAGCGTACTCCATGGTTGTCATGCCCCCCGGCCAAGAGGTGAACGCGCGTGTCGTCATCTTCTGAATGGATTTGTCGAGGAAGGGCGAGCAAGTTTTTGCCCTACCCAGGCTCTGCCTAGAAGGGTTCTTACTATCTAAGCTTAAAGGGCCGGGCAGTGCTCCCCGCCCCGGGCGGTTCCCCCGGCATCCGCCCCGCGGTTCCCCCAGTTGCGCCCCTTGGGTTCACCCAGCTTAGCTAAGCTAAGCTAAGCTTAGCTTAGCTGAGCTTATCTCATCTTAGCTTAGCTTAAATTAGCTTAGCTTTGCCTAGCCTAGCCTAGCCTAGCCTAGCTTCGCTTAGCTTCGCTTCGCTTAGCTTAGCTTAGCTTAGCTTATATCATATTACCTTAGCTTAGCTTAGCTTATCTTAGCTTAGTTTAGCTTAACCTAGCTTAGCTTTGCTTAGCTTAGCTTACCTTAGCTTAGCGCAGCGCAGCATAGCGCCGCGCAGCATTAGCACAGGATAGCATAGCATAGCATTGCATAGCCAAGCATAGCATATCATAGCATAGCTCAGCATATCATAGCACAGCATAGCATAGCGCAGCATAGCATAGCACAGCATAGCATTGCATTGCTTAGCATAGCACAGCGCATCATATCATAGCATAGCACAACACAGCATATCATAGCATAGCATAGCGCAGCCTGTGTATGTCTGTGCGCAGGCAAAGCAAACACAACATCAAGCGAAAGCAACCACAAAAGCAAAGCAACAGCAACAGCAAAAGCAAAAGCGAACGCAAAGGCAAAGGTAAACGCAAAGGCAAGAGCAACATCAAAGACAATGCACATCAAAAAACAACACCAATGCGAAAGTGTAGATGTAGATGTAGATGTAGGTGTAGATGTAGATGTAGATGTAGATGTAGGTGTAGATGTAGGTGTAGCTGTAGATGTAGATGTGAGTCTCGCTGTTGATGTTGATGTAGATGTAGATGCAGATATTGATGTAAATGTAGCTGTCGGTGTAGATGTAGATGTTGCTTTCCTACTGCTCCAACTCCTAGGTAGGGTCGCACTGGGATAATTTTTAGGGGAGGGAAGCCTGGCGGGCTCCACGTGTCCAGTTTCCTGCAAGGTGTTGGAACTCGTCGCAGCTCCGTGCCGCGTCGCCTGTGCACTCCCAATCCTTCCTGTCTCTGCTCGGCGGCGAGCCTGGGCGGGGGGGGAAGTCAGAAGGGGCGGGCCTTCTCAGAAGGCTCGGAAGGCCCAGGGCCTCCTGAGAGGTGTCCTGAGCCATCCCCGAAGACACAGAAAGCATCCCAGAAGGCTGGGAAACCTCTGAGAAGCCCCCTCCGCCTTCTGAGAGGGCCTCCTGAGAGGTGTCCTGAGCCATCCCCGAAGACACCGAACGCATCCCAGAAGGCTGGGAAACCTCTGAGAAGCCCCCTCCGCCTTCTGAGAGGGCCTCCTGAGAGGTGTCCTGAGCCATCCCCGAAGACACCGAAAGCATCCCAGAAGGCTGGGAAACCTCTGAGAAGCCCCCTCCGCCTTCTGAGAGGGCCCGCTCCTTCTCATCTTCCCCCCCTGGGGGCGCACCGCCGATCTGCCCCGTCCCTCCGCGGCCCCTCCTCTCCTGCCGCCCCCCCGGCGGAGGTGTTCCCTGGCCAGGCCGGGCGGCGGCGAACGCGCGGCACCGCCTCAAGCGACCCGCCCCCCTGGCCTCCCTCTGGGGGGGGCCGGAGGAGGGAGGAAGGAGGAGGGAATACGAGGGGGGGAGGAGGAGGAAGGAGGAGGAGGAAGAGGAGGACGAGAAGCAAGAGGAGGAGGAGGAGCAAGAGGAGGAGGAGGAGGAGGCGGATGATGATGATGATGATGATGATGATGATGATGATGATGATGATGATGATGATGATGATGATGATGATGATGATGATGATGATGATGATGATGATGATGATGATGATGATGATGATGATGATGATGATGATGATGATGATATGATGATGATGATGATGATGATGATGATGATGATGATGATGATGATGATGTATGCGAGTTCCTGCGGTGTTTCTCAGGCTGCAGGGCTCCGAGGCTCTTCGCTTCGATGCCATTGTTTTCAGACACCGTAGCTCCGTTCCGTAAACGTCTTCCAAGAGCCGCTCGCAACCTTTTGCAGCTGGCTGTCTGCACGCTTCGCCGGCTTTTGCTGCGCGGACACTTTTCACACACACGTCAGCGCCGTTTGTAGGCGTCAGAAAAACATGTAGACATTCACGAAGGGCTCAGTCTGTATATCGTCACATCATTACATACGCAGTCGTCGAACACATCGGTGTACATTCAGCGCTTTGTCCTTCTAGCTGGGTTGCTTCGTGCTGAGGCTGAGGCTGATGCAGGCTGAGGCTGAGGCAGGCTGAGGCTGAGGCCGAGGCTGACGGCAGACTGAGGCTGAGGCTGAAGCAGGCTGAGGCTGAGGCAGAGGCAGGCTGAGGCTGAGGCTGAAGCTGAGGCAGGCTGATGCTGTGGCAGGCTGAGGCTGAGGCTGAGGCTGATGCAGGCTGAGGTTGAGGCAGTCTGAGGCTGAGGCCGAAGCTGAAGGCAGACTGATGCTGAGGCTGAAGCAGGCTGAGGCTGAGGCTGAGGCAGGCTGAGGCTGAGGCAGGCTAGGCTGAGGCTGAGGCAGGCTGAGGCTGAGGCTGTGACTGCGACTGCCGTTGCCACTGCGACTGTCATCGCGAATGCGACTACGACTGCGAGAACAGCAGAATTCTACAACTGGATTCTCATTTGAATCTTAAGGGGAATGCTTCCAGATATGCTCCTACACATCGCTGTTAGGTTGCTTTGCCGGGATAATTTGAGGATGTCCCGAGCGAAACGGCCGTTTTTTGGAGGATTTTTTCCGGTCGTTGAGCACCTTCCGGGTGGCCGGCGGGTTCTGCCGGAGCCCACTGGGGAGTTCTTTTGGAAAAAGAACCAAAACCAAAACCTGACAGCTCATCCAGCACGCCGTGCACCCCTGCAAGCAGGGGGCGGCGGATATATAACGGATATCGGTTTATCCCGCCACCGTGCATGGATTGCGTGTCAGAGTCTTCAGGGATGCTTCTTGGGGTCTCTTCGGAGCGCTCTCGGGGGCCTCTTGGGGGTAGTGTTGGAGCCTCTTGGGGGCCGTTTGCGAGCATCTTGGGGGCCTCTTGGCGCTTCCTGGGGGCCTCATGGGGGCCTCTTGGAGCCTCCCGGAGGCCTCTTGCAGCCTCCCCTGGGCCTTCTCTTGGAGCCGTCTTGGAGGCCTCTTGGGCCGTCTTGGACGCCTCTTAAGCCGTCTCGATGCCCTCGGGCAGTTTTAGGGCTCTGTTGGAGGCCTCTTGGGCAGTCTTGGGGTGATCTTGGGTGCCTCGTGGGCCGTCTTGGAGCGTCGGGAAGCCGAAAAGGCGAGAACACCCAAGTCCTGCAAGCACCTGAGGAAACTCAGTGAACTGTGCCTCTTGGGGCGTCTAGTCTAAGAGGCCTCTTGGGCCGTCTCGAGACCATCTTGGGCGTCTTGGACCGATCGTTCGGCAACTCGGGGTCCTCTCGGACGGCCTTAGAGATGTAAGCGGGCCCTTTTCTTTTTTTTACTTTTTTTTTTCGTTTTTTTTTTTCGTATTTATTTTTTTTTTTTTTTTTTTTTTTTCTTTTTTCGTTCGTCTTTTTTTTTGTTATTTCGTTTTGTCTTTTTTTTTTTTTCTTTTCGTTCTTTCTTTTATTTTTCTTCTTTGTATTTTTTTTTTCGTTTTTCGTGTTTTCGTGACTGTCTGGGGGCCCTCCAGGGCCCGAAAAAGTCATGCGGCAAGCCGGCCCTGACCGCAAGAGATTTGGCCTTTTGGGGTCCAGATCCTTGAAGAATCTTTTTAGTCCAGGGGACTGAGGACCACAACAAGGGACCTGAGGGCACGCCCACTACGTGTCCAGAGGCACGGTGGCGGATACATACAGCATACAACATACATATATATATATAGATATATATATCTAATATATATTATATATGTATATATATATCTATATATATATATATATATATATATATATATAGTGTGGTGTGTGTGCGTTGTGTGTACCCACAGAGAAAAAACCCAATCAGGGCTATAGGGCTAGGGGGCTGTAGGGCTATAGGGCTATTGAGCTATAGGGCTATAGAGCTATAGGGCTATAGAGTTGTAGGGTTATAGGGCTATTGGGCTATTGGGCTATAGGGCTGTAGGGCTATAGGGCTTAGGGCTATAGGGATATCGGGCACCCCCCAGGCACCCCCGGGCACCCCCGGGCACCCCTGGGCACGCCCGGGCACCCAGGCACCCAGGCACCCGGGCACCCCCGGGCACCCCCCGGGGCACCTGGGCCAAGGGCACCCCTGGGCACCCCCGGGCACCCGGGCACCCGGGCGTGCAGCGAAAATCGGCGACAAACCTAACCTAACCATATGAATCCGCTAGGACCCCTACAGAGGCAAGCTCTGATTGGGGAATTATTAATAATATTATATTATATATATATATTATACAGATACATGTGTATTTTGTAGCATGCAAAATATAGGTGAAGGCATGCATAATATATATTTATATATTCATGTGTAAAGTATATATATATATGCATTCATATAGATATAGTTATATATTATATATATATATATTATATTTGTAAATGCATATACACATGAAGTAGATCGGCGCGAATATATTTTATATTTATTATATATATATATATATATATATATATATATGTGGTGTGTTAGCCCTCCGCACGCACCAAGAACCCCCCTTTCTCATGATTATATATGAATTTATATATGATTCCTACGATTTTCGGACTCACTTTTGAGGCTCTTTTTTGGAAGACTTCTCAACTCATTTTGAATTTGACAAATTAACCTTCTACCTCAACTCCCTCCGTCTCCAACACACATCCAGATCTTCAACAACCTCCGTCTCCAAACACCATCGATACTCAACAGGCGCCTCCCAAGAGCTGAAATTGAAAATCACCTTCTACTCAACTCCCTCCGTCTCCAAACACACCATCAGTACGCTGCAGGCTCCTTCCCAACGCTGGACTTGCATTGAATTTAAACCTTCTACACACTCCCCTCCGTCTCCAACACACCCATCCAGTATCACCACATCCGTCTCCAACATCCACCCGATATCTACAGGCTCCCTCCACAAGCTGAACTTGAAAATCACCTTCTACTCAACTCCCTTCCGTCCTCCAAACACACCATCAGTAACTCAACACACTCCGTCTCCAAACACACCTACCCGTACTCACAGGCTCCCTCCCCAAGCTGAACTTGAAAATACCTTTGCTTCTACTCAACTCCCTCCGTCTCCTACACACCATCCAGTACTCAACACCCTCCGTCTCCAACACACCACCCGATACTCCACAGGCTCCCTCCCAAAGCTGAACTTGAAAATAACCTTCTACTCAACACCCTTCGTCCCCTACACACCATCCAGTACTCAACACCCTCCGTCTCCAACACACCACCCGATACTCAACAGGCTCCCTCCCCAAGCTGAACTTGAAAATAACCTTCTACTCAACTCCCTCCGTCTCCAACACACCATCCAGTACTCAACACCCTCCGTCTCTCCACAGGCTCCCTCCCCAAGCTGAACTTGAAAATAACCTTCTACTCAACACCCTTCGTCTCCAACGCACCACCCGATACTCAACAGGCTCCCTCCCCAAGCTGCACTTGAAAATAACCTTCTACTCAAATCCCTCCGTCTCCAACACACCATCCAGTACTCAACACCCTCCGTCTCCAACACACCACCCGATACTCAACAGGCTCCCTCCCCAAGCTGAACTTGAAAATAACCTTGTACTCCACTCCCTCCGTCTCCTACACACCATCCGGTACTCCACACCCTCCGTCCCCAACACTCCACCCGATACTCCACACCTGTCTTCTGCATCACACAACCAACCTTTCTGCCACACCTCTGCCTTTACGGTTGCAGCGCGCGCCTTCCGCCCCCGTTTTCTCTTGGCATCTTCCAAGAGAAAAGGAGGGTTCATGGTGCGTGCTGGGACCTGTATATATATATATATATATATATATATATATATATATATCTTACATTATATATATATTATGCTATAAGATGCTATCCAAATAAGGCCTGCCTTGTACGCGGTCCTAGCTCATCATACTCATTGGTCCGTTGCCCCCCTACATTCCTATGCCCCCGCTATTTCCTATGGCTATGCCTACGTCTATGCTATGTTTCCCCTACTCCTATGCCTATGCTCTTTGCCTTTGCCTATCGCTGGCTACGCTTGCTTGCTCTTGCTTGGCCTTGGCTTGCTCTTGCTTGCTTGCTTGCTCTTGGCTTGCCCGGCTTGCTTGCATTTGCTCGCTTGCTGTTTGCGGTTGTTTGATGTTTTGCTCCTCCGTCCTTCCCTCCCGTCCCTGCTCCCGTCCTCTTTCCGTCCCCCCACTCCTCTCTGTCTCCTCCTGTCCTCCTGTCTATATGGAGTCAGCGAGTGCTGATATAGAGATATAGAGATTATGGAAAATATATGTCACACATATATGATATTATACACCTTCGGCAACAGTTTTGGACCTACACGTAGGATCGATGCTTATAAATATATTGTAAGCCCAATGTTTCCTGAGGAGAAGGGGCTAGTCCCTTCTTCCTCC